CTTATTTGCGAAGAACACACGTTTGTAGTTGTAGCGATGAGCAGGGTAGACCCAGGAATTGCACACAAAATGTACAGGACCATGACCTGGTACGTCCTCTATGGTAAGTGTCTTGAGGTAGAACTGGCTACGGTGATGGTTCTTTATAATGAAGGCCCCGGGAACTCCCAAGCTCTCGTCCCAATCAAAGCTTATGGAGAACTCTACGTCCACAGAACTTGACAATGAAGAAATGGTGGAAACCCACTTCTCCAAATATGCCTCTTTTCCCATCTTCCCTCTCATCCCATTTTCTGCAAAAATAACAAATTTCAGTTCTTTTAATTGAGAGAGAGAGATGAAGAAGAAGAAGCTGACCTGGGTCAGGGTTATGAGCACTAATGAGCTGGAAAGAGACACGCATGCCCAAGAGCTCATAGATTCTGTCAACAATGGAGGATTTGAGGTCAGGAAAGTCCAGAAGGCTCTTCTTCATCAGAAGAACTCTCCCTTTGATCATCTTCTCCTCCTCCTTCTCCATCTTGCTTTGATGATTCTGCTTTTCCTTGTTCTTCACTCACAGTAACAAGTTCAAGATTCTCTGAAAAATGAACAAGACTGATATGAAAAGAGTTAAATGTATAGATTTATTTTAAAAAAAAAAATCAGCAGAAAGTGTGATCTATATGTGCACACTAAACATGCATGAAGAGGATAGTTACTGTGAATTAGGTAAGTGCTCCTCTGTGAACTGTGAAACAGAGGAAAAAGAGAGAATGAAGAAAGGCATGAAGGCTTAGGTAGGAAATGGGGTTTTGACATTTGTAATTTATCTCTTTATTAAAGAGTGTAATTAAAGGACCTGATTCCAGCACGGCAAATCACCTGTTCTTTTCTTTCTGCACAATTTTCTGACTAGGAGTTTCATCCTTTTAGTAGCCTGTGTTACTTACAACTGAAAACAGAGAATCATTACTGTAATGCGATCATATTCTATGCATTTATTTAGGGAGAAAAACGTGATATCCACATTTTATTATGTTGTGACACACACACGCACATATCTTTTTCACTTTTCTCCTGAGAATTCATAAATTGAAAATGCTCCTATTTGTTTGGATAGAAAATGTAAAAGCATGAAATATATGAATCTTAGGGCCTCTTGGTAGGCGTGAAAACTGAGAACAACGATAAGAAAACATAAAGAAAATATAAGAATATATTTCTCTTCTCCTTAATTTAATACCTATTTAACTAATTTGATTAAATTAAGAAAGTTAGGTAAGTTAATTAATTATAAAAAATATAACATGTTTTTTTAAAACACAATAATCATATTCCTCAATATCCTCTCTCCCTCTTCTACTTGATTATGGTTGAGGGAGCTTTCATAGGGGTAATTTAGAGAAAATTGATAAATATGAGAAATAGATCTTATTTTTGAAATCAAAATCAACTCAACAATTATGTCCTATATTATTGTCACCAAACCAAAATCACTTGAAAGAATACATAGTATTTTTGTAGCCATTTATATTTAGGAGAAATTACTCTATGATCTCAAGAAAGAGAGTTAGTCATCCAAAATTTGATAATAATAAAAGTGCATATAATGACAACTTCCATATTACTGGCTTGTTATTAAAATTTTTTGATAACTAAACTTTTCATCCGGATTTCATAACAATTCTCGCTTATATTTATTATAAGTGTGCTTGGAAAAGCTTTGTTCAAAACCAAGGTTTCCCAATATATATATATATATATATATATTAATTGAAATTGAGAGATTGAAACTATTTAATTGGCTTTAGCTTAGAAAAACATTTTTTTCAATAAAAAAACCTTCTTTCTATAAAAAAGTATAACAAGTCCATTTAAATAACTACGGTGTTTGGATAGCATCAAAAGTGCTATTTAAAAGTATTTTTTCACAAATTAAGATAAATTCTTCTATATATTTATTTTATATATCGTAAAATTACTTTTAAAATCATTGTTTGATTTTCATCCAAACACCCTCAACAATTAACTCAATAAGCCAATATATCACGTTAGGCATTATATAACATGCTCTTTCCAATTTTAAATATAAGAGCTAGTAGAGTATTTTTTTGTGTTTTCCTAAATGATAAGACTATTCAATTAACTTTATCTTTTAAATTTATAATATCTTCCAAAACTCTTTCTATTAATTGCAAAATTAAAATGGCTACTTTAAAAAAAATTAACATATATTTATTATTACAAATAATTAATTTAACTAATTTTTTAATATTTATAAATTAATTATATGCATCTAACATTTACGAGCGGATGGATTATTATTATTATGATGATGATGACGATGCATGGACACACACTCAATAACCTTTTAACGAATTACATTCATTGAAGGAAATCCCATTTAATATATGAAATATGAATAATTTTTAAAAAATTATAATTTTGAGAGAAAAAGTAATTTGAGATTTTATATTTAGCATCATAACATATATATATATATATATATATATATTAGCTTTTACGTTTAGAGCCGGAGGTCATAGATAATCCAAGTTGTTTCGTATTAAAAGAAATTCATGGCGAAAAAATTACACCTCATCAGGACAAACATTGGTTCCGTTCAGAACAGCTTCTTTTCTTGTTTGCCATGGAAGGAATCAAAATCAGAAAGAAATTTTCTCCATCCCAAAACCTTTTTTTAATAAAAAAAAAAAAGATGCGAACAAGTGTGTGCGTGTGTATTTTTCCTTACATTTTGCACACACCACCCAGCTTTTTATACACACAGACCATTAGATACTTTTCTTCTTCAAGAGAGTTTAAAAATGAAAAGAATATATATATATATATATATGTGTGTGTGTGTGTGTGTGTGATGGACAAAACTTTCATAAATACTTTATTCTTGGTTGTTATATTATGAATCACCTTGTCGGACAGTTAAAAATTGGCTCATAGAAACGGAAGGATAAAAATTTTTGTTCCATAGCTCGAGATTTTATTCCAATGAAAAACTAAGTTGTTTCGTTAGCGGTGGTTATGCCTAGTTAGTACTCCTTCTATTCTTAATATAAGAGCTAATTAGGGAATTAATATTGATTCTATATATAAGACTTATTTCAAATATTTATCAATTTTTTTCTCAAATTAACCTTATTGATATCTCACAAACAATAATCAAGTAGGAAAGGAAAGGAGAGAATTAAGAAAAAGGCTTAAAGTATTTGAGAAAAAAATATATCATATTAATTAATTTAACTAATATTTTTAATCTATCTAAATTATTTAATTAGGTCTTATATTAAGAAACGGAACAATATTAACATTTTCAAGTTAAATGAAGGCTTCAACTTTATAAATGAAAAAAATACATATATTAAAAGTAGGATTCAAAAACAAAATTTGATTGAAAGCTTCTTCCTTGAAGACCTTCTTCATGTCAATTTAAAAGAATTAACAATGTCTTATTAGTGTGACTACCATTCTTTTGGCTAAGTTATTATTGAAACTACCAAGGATATTCTTGTTCTTGTCACTATTGATATCACCATTTTTATAATTATACTATTGTCGTTATCACCGCTGTTATTGTCACCATTAGGAACTAAATTTAAAATTTTAAAACACTTAACACCACTACCATCGTCAATATTGTGATCACCATGATAAGAAATAAATTTAAAACTAAAAATGGTTTTTTTCAAACTAAAAATATAAGAAAATAGGATAATTTCGGATTTTATTATAATATAAATATGTTTTTTATACAATAAAAGTTTAAATGAGATGAGCTTGGGAGGGTCATCAAAACAAGTAAAACATGTTTTTTGACTTAGAAAATACCTACAGAAGTACATATAGATCATCCATTAACACGATTATTACATTAGTAATTAGATTTAAACTTATGATCTTTTAGGTTTTAGGCTAAATTCTTACCAATTGGAACAATTTTCGTTAGCAATGCCAGCTCACTCTCTTTCCCTTTTACATCATTTTCTAAAACATAATGATCATTATAAATTTATTTTAGTAAGGCACAAATGAAATACTATAATCTCAGTAGAAAAGGTTTGTCCTAATTTGAGGGAAAAACAAAAATAAGTAAAATTTATTATTACACTATACTTCTTGTGCTTGGTTGATTTTAGAACAATTAACGGATGGTTGACTTTTTTTTAAATTAATTTCCACTTGCTTAGACAAGTTTTGTCGCTAGGTTTTGTTTTCATCACCAAACTCTTGTTTGACTAGCGAGAATGAACCGTAGGAATAAGAAAAAGGGAAAATGACTGTTGAAATTTGAAATGACAAAATGAGCATGCAAATAACTGAAATCACCAAATGAGCTTGAGGTATGAATCTGGAATTATTACAATTCAGCAGAAAGATTAAAACACCCCTAAACATCTCTGAACACATGAACTGAAACAAGACATGTAACGTATCCAGAAGAGAGAGAATTGAGAAGATGAAGCTGGAGCAAGAGTGGAAATTTGAAAAGAGAAAAAAGGTAAGCAAATTTTCGGTTAAAATGCTAGTTTCGTACTCCTCCAACTATCATCATTGTGCAAACCTAATTTATTACGGTGGGTTTTGCTTGTGGGCAAGTTGGTTTGTAATAAGAGAGGGGTTGAATGTGGGTATCACGTAAGAGAGTCGAGGTTAATGATGGGTTTGGGTTCTTAACTTGCTTTGCTGCTACATGCTCGAATGGGGATGGGTTTATGAGTATAGAGGGTTTAAATGAAAAATTTGACCGGGATGAGAGAGTGAAGCATCGGAAATGGAAAAATGGTGGCAATTGATAACGTAGGCATGAAGTTTGAGGGCAAACAGTAAGCATGGTTAGTGTTGTTAAATTCATTAGTGGAATTATGAAATCCTATATTTAAGTTATCAATGGAGTAAGTGGGTGTGTGCATTTTTTGGGTGTTTCGGAAGGTAAATGAAATTGATTATTGGGAAACTAAAATATTGATTTATATTTCTTTGGTGCAGGTTAGCAAGCTTTGATGAGATCTAACATTGGGTCAACATCTTCAAAGCGTCGTGCTTGTTATTTTCATGTGGGTGGGAACTGTGCAGAAAATGGTGATGGTGAAGTTAAGTACAATGGTGGAACTGTCAGGGTAGGAGTGATAAAAAAAAGTATAAGGCTTGAAGATTTGAGGGTTACGATAGGAGGATGGTTTGGTGTAGATAGTAATAATTGTGACATTAAATACACATTAGGCTTTGATGATGGGATATCAATAGATCTCATTGATGACGATGAAGTTGACAACCTATTTGAGTATAATGACAGTAATGCACATGTTTACGTAGTAGCTAAAGGTAATAAGAATACGGAGGAAGAAGTGGCTGATCCAAACAGGTAAGTTACAAGTTTTTGGTTATGGAAGTTGTTAATTATTATAATGTTGTTGTCAATCTGTTAACAAATATTGTAATTATACATGCAGCATCTAAAAATTCTTGGGACTGTCACAGCAAAATGATAAGCATGATTGAGAAAAATGCTATCCAATGTGTGAATTAGACAGCATCTGAAAATGTTCTTAGCCTGCTATATGTAGTACAGAGTGCACTAGCACCTTTGCCAAGCATGAATTCCTTGAAATGGAAGAAAGTATTGTTAGGATTGAGGCAGAGTTTTGCACATGCAGATGATTTCAAGAAGAAACTACACAAATTCAGTATTGCAAACAAATTTGAGTATAAATATGTGAAAAATTCTAATATCCATATGTATGTTAAATACAAGGTTGAAGGTTGTCCATGGAGGATCAGTGCGAGAGTAGCTGGAAAGAGTATTTCATTTTTACGTGTAACGACATTAAAAAATGAGCATGTTCATAATTCACAATACAATCTTCACGTGACACATGGTGGATCAGCTAGCTTGACATCATCAATTATAATTGAAGAGGTTAGGGATCACATAGACATGCGTCCAAATGATATAAGAAAGAGGTTGGAAAGAGATTATAGTGTGAAGTTGACATACAAGCAAGCATATAGGGCCAAGGAAAAAGCATTGGAGGACATATATGGCAAAGCTGATCAAATTTATATGCTTATTCCATGGATATGTGATCGGTTAAAGGAAACCAATGACAAAACAGTGGCAAAATGGGTGGCTACAATGAACAACACATTTGAGTGTGTATTCATAGCCTACAGGTGTTGTATAGAGAGCTTTGTTGCTGGTGCTAGACATGTATTGTATATTGATAGAAGTCATTTAAGTGGACCGTATAAGGGGACACTACTTTCAGCCTTTGCTTATGATGCGGACAATGAATTATTCCCTTTTGCGACTGCAATTGTGAAGGGAGAGACACTTGAGGATTGGACATAGTTCTTACATATGATTAAGGAGATAGTTGGATCAATACAATTAGTAATTATTTCAGACTGACACAATGCAATTATAGGTGCTGTCTAAGCAATATTCAGAGGTGAGCGACATGCGTACTGTTATAGACATATTAAAGAGAATTTCAGTGCGCAAATGATTAAGTTGAATAAAGAAAAAAGGAAGACAAGTAGCAACACAAAGGGAGATGGACTGCAATTCCTAGATGCTATTACATATGCAAGGCTTGACACAGAGTTTAATAAAGCAATGGATAACATGAGAAATTTCAATTCCCAAGTATTTCAATGGCTTGTCAATCATGGTGATATTCACAAGTCGGTCTTAAGCAAGTTCTCTTTTAAACGATAGGCCAACATAACAACAAACCTTGTAAAGTCATTCAACACGTGGATGTTGAAGGAAAGACGATATAATATTGCCCGACTTATACATAAGCATAATGAAAAAGTGGCCAAGAAGATGTATGCAGAAAGCATGGCAATGAGTAAATGGAAGAATGGTATAGGTCCAAACACAAATGCAACATTGATGGAAAATGTGGCAAGATGTGCATGCATGTTAAGTGTTCCTTATGGAAGGGGGAGGGTGTGTGTTCATACAGCAAAAGTAGCCATACATGTTGATCTTGGAAAAGGTGAATGTAGCTGTGCAGCTTGGCAAATGTCAGGCATCCCATGCCCGCATGCATGTGCAGCTATTAAGGTTTTGAATTCCAATGTCTATGATTTCATTGAGGAATGCTACAAGATTACGTCCCAACAAAAGATTTATGGTAGGACCATGATTCTGGTGGTGACAATTGACATGCCAAATCTTAATAACTATCGGCTGCAAGATACAACAAGTCAAGTGTTCTTGACACCACCTTTGACTAGTTGACCACCTGCAAGGCCTAGGACAAACAGGCAAGAGTCGTAGCTTCAAAACAAGAAAGTGTATTATTATAACGCATGCCAGCAAGTTGGACATACAAGAAGAACATGCAAGAATTCAAACCCAAGTTAAAGTTTGATGTCAATACCTGAGGGGTAATCTTTTAGTGTGAATGGAATAATTTTTGAACCTTTCTTAATTTTTTGGGAGAAGGGTTGATAGATAGGTTATCCTTTTTGTAAATGATGTTAACTGGGTAGGATATATTTTGTAATCTAAATGACAAGGAAATATTAGATGGTGGTTTAATCTTAATGTTAACTTGTCATTTGAATATAAGTTATGTAGCTTCTATTATAAGCCTACAGGTTTTTTATAAATATTGTCACTTTAGTGATTAATTTTATTACATATGTAGTAAAGTCTGAATGTTAATGTAAATATATTATGATGTTCTTTAGGTGTACTTATATGCTATTTTGTCAATGCATTTTACCATTTGTTTAATTCTCCCAAGGGAGATGGTGGAAGTTGCCAATGGGCATGACCGGAGCAATTAATTTGATTACAAATGTTGTTATTCACATTACAAATGTTGTCAATATCATTATCGGGGTAGTGAAATTGGCTCCAAATAGATGTTATTTATGTTTGAAATAAACGAGTTGCAAATGAAAATAGCGGAGTGGTAATTCTCATTAGAAAAGTTATAATTTACATTACAAATGTTGTTATTATCATTACCCAGATAGTAAAATTGGCTCTAAAAACATGTTACTTGGGTTTGAAAGAAATGAGTTGCAAATGGCAATAGTGAGATGGTAACTCTCATTACAAAAATTATAATTTACATTACAAATGTTGTTATTATCATTACTAGGGTAGTGAAATGGCTCCAAAAAATGTTATTTGGTTTGAAAGAAACAAGTTGCAAATAGCAATAGCGAGATGATAACTCTCACTACGAAAGTTGTAATTCACATTACAAATGTTGTTATTACCATTACTGGGGTAATGAAATTGCTCCAAAAACATGTTATTTGGGTTTGAAAGAAACGAGTTATAAATGGCAATAGCGAGATGGTAACTCTCATTATGAAAGTTATAGTTCACGTTACAAATGTTGTCATTATCATTATCATGATAGTGAAATTGGCTCTAAAAACATTACTTGGCTTTGAAAGAAAGGAGGTTCAAATAGCAATAGTGAGATGGTAACTCTCACTATAAAAGTTATAATTCACATTACAAATGTTGTCATTATCATTACCCAGGTAGAGAAATTGGCTCTAAAAACATTACTTGGGTTTGAAAGAAACGAGTTGTAAATGACAATAGCGAGATGGTAACTCTCATTGTGAAAGTTATAGTTCACATTACAAATGTTGTCATTATCATTATCATGGTAGTGAAATTGGCTCCAAAAACATGTTACTTGGGTTTGAAAGAAATGAGTTGTATATGACAATAGCAAGATGGTAACTCTCATTATGAAAGTTATAGTTTACATTCTAAATGTTGTCATTATCATTATCGTGATAGTGAAATTGGCTCCAAAAATGTTACTTGGGTTTGAAAGAAATGAGTTGCAAATGGCAATAGCGAGATGGTAAATCTTACTATGAAAGTTATAATTCACAATACAAATGTTGTCCTTATCATTACCGGGATAGTGAAATTGGCTCCAAAAACGTTACTTGGGTTTGAAAAAAACAAGTTGCAAATGGTAATAGCCAGATGGTAACTCTTATTATGAAAGTTGTTAATCTCATTACTTGTGTAGTGAAGTTGGGTCCAAGTAGATGTAATTTGTGGCACAAATAATCGACTTACAAATGCCATCACGGAATTGACAACTTTCATTATGTATGTTTTAGCTACCATTACTTATTTAGTGAAATTATCCCAAAAAGGATTTAAATTAGGCTAACAAATATCATAACTTACAACCGACAACCATAAGTCAAATATCTTGACAATATCTGGACACTGCTTTCACACATACTATATGCTTAATCTACGTAATCTTTACTACTATCATAGATGCTGTCTTTTGGTTCGTGTGGTGGCTTCATTTGATGAAAGTAAGCTCAATGCTTTGTCACATATTGAATTGAGATCATGATTTACTAGCCACTACATGAGGTTTCACTAAAATTCAGCCACTTGTTCATTCGTATAGTCAAGTATGTCATCGGGCTTTCATTTACTTAATCATATTAATACATGAACACCACAGTCTCGCCTGTACATGAAAACATTCCAATGATGTAAATGAATTAAAAAAACACATTGGGCTGCATTGACACGTTATAATATCAACAACATAAACTACTCACAGATTGTTTTGTTACGGAACAGGAGCCCAAATGATATCACTCATTTTCTTCTTCCCAATGGCATTAGGCTTAACTATGTCAATAATGTCATAAAATCTATTCCTCTACATAATATAGAGTTGCATTTCTAAATAAAAGGTAAATGAAATGTCAATCAAACAAGATGAGTTACATTATCCTTATACATTTAGTGACCATGGTCATCATGTCATCATTAATTACACCCTTATTCTTGCTCTTCTTCTTACCCTCTAAATTTGGCTTCATTAGGTCCAGCATGTAGAAATTTATTGTGCTAGGTTTAAGCACAACATAGAACCAGTGAGCGCTAACAAGTGTGGGTCCAAAGATCAAATCACATTCTCCTATGTTGTAACCTATATTTTCAGGTAAAAATTGATTCTTTCGTTTTGTTGCATCTTACCTATTTGGGTTAGTAGCTATTATAGCCTACAACATGAACATGTTAGTCATTTATCAATATCAATCCACAAAAAACTGACATATTAGCAAGCTTACCATAAAGTCAGCATAAAAAATGTGCTGCTTCACTTGTCTTTCCTTGTTCATATCAACCATTAATGTCTTGCATATAATTGACATCAGCTGTATGAAAAAAAAATGATAGTTTTGATGAACCTAAAACATAGCAGCAATTAAATAATTAAATCACCTAATCACAAATATTATACTTACCCAGTTACCTATTTTCTCAATTCCATCAAGTGTCCTTAGTTGATCCCGAGTGATATCTTCATCAAAGATTTTAACCAAAGGCCTAAAAATATGTTGTTAATATCATTATGCATGTAGTCAATCAGTACAAAACTGTAATGAATACCATTATATGGGTAGTGTATATGTACTTACTTGTCATCCTCCTTACTTGAACACATGCAAAAATTACTTCGAAGAACTGGTCCTTGTCATCCATGGTCCTCTTTCTCCTCTTAATTGGCTTTGTCAAAATCCATGGAGAATTTATAGCTGATTTCATCTCCCTTTATGATCTCCTAAGTTCAAATCCCCTATCCATAAGGGAAAGGGGCAGGGGAGAGTCCATATTCCATATTTCCTTTTTCTACTCCTTCTACTTCAACACCTATTTCTTCGCCCTTATCTGAGTCATCTCTATCATCATCGCCTCACTTGAGTCATGTCCATCATCATCTTCCTGACCTGACTCATCTCCATCATCATCTTGCTGATTAGACCCATGTCCATCATGATCATGAGGGTCCTCATTACCAAATGCATCATTATCTTGTCATCATCTGGGACTTCAATAGGCTCCTCATCTCGATCTTTAATAGGCTCATCATCTCCGATCAAATTATTTTCTTCTATCGTTATCTGCACCTTATGTAGCTCATCTTCTATTGCATTGATAAGCCTCTTATTGCTTAATTCGATCAAAGCCATCAATCGTCCATGCAAGTTTTGCAACTCCTGCATGAAATAATTTAAAATGAGTAAACATTTTTTTCATGACATTATTTCCCAATGCGAATGGAAATTACTAAGAAAAACACATACTGGGTATAAATGAGCTACACTTTTACATTTTCTTTCATCCTTCTCATTTCTATCTATAGTTCCCTTACCCTCCCTTATACAATAAACTCCTGACGCTGTCCCTCTTTTTCTTTTCTAGCTTCCTTATCCTTTGATCAGTCCAAAATTAAATAGCATTTATGGATCCTCGTCTAGTAGATTTTGACAGTGGGAAACACTTAGCAAAATATAATTGTAACAGTAAATAATTAAGCTCCCAATTCTTTAAATAAAGAAAATAATAAATAAAAAGTATGGGTAACAAATACATACTAACAGGAGGTTGATGCATCCTTCCACATTGCAACTTCCTTCATCTTTATCTTCATCTTCCTTTGCTTTTGTATACACTTACACATAATCTCCCATCTCTTTCTATAAGTGCTTGACAATATAGGTAGCCCAATCAAATTGGTGAAATCTCTTCATGCTATAACATATAACTCTTATTAGTTTGTCACTCACAGTTGTTTGCGAAGTAGGAGTTAAAAAAACTCCCCAAGTGTGTATAACATAAAAAGAACTCAAAGTCATCTTTCTTTTGCTCAGATTTAACATCATTGAGTATCTTGGTATAAGGGACTTTACCAAAATCCTTCTTCAACCTCTGGTAAGTTTCATCATCATCAAATACATCTATTTTTACCTTCTCCCCTGTGTGGGGTACACCTAGCAAGTCTAAGTCTGCAATGTCTTTTACTTCTATTTCCTTTATGTTCCCTCTTATTATAAATTGATGGATAGACGGATTATATGACCAAAGCATACATACTATGAGGTCATGAGGGAGTTTTTAACATCCAATGTGAAGCAAATTGGAGAATCCTAAATTTTGTACCATGACTTTCAAACTTTTATCATTATTTATAAAGTCCACTAATGACTTAAATTGCCGAACTGAACAACGAGTGCTAAAAGCAACTTTTTTCTTTCTCTTCTTCTTCTTTCCCTCCTTTCTTGATTGCTTAACCTTATCACTATATTTCTTCTGCTCCTCTGGTGTCAGCTGCTTCCATGCCTTTGCTGCCTCTGTTACTTATTCAGACATATTCTTAAACTTCCTCCCTGCCTTAAGAAATTCTTTTTTAAACATGTACCCATTCTTCACTTTTT